CGGCTGCCATGCGCCGCTGTTCGTTTGCGCCTCAACCGCGGCGGCAGGCAACTGCGCTCGCCCGCCGCTGCTGTGTGTGTGCGTGAAGCGGCCCCGCAGGCTGCGGCGGCGCGTCGTTTTCAGGGTTTTGGGGGCGGCGTTGATGGCGCAAGCTGAACGCAACCCGTCGTCATCTTTAGCGGGCGGTTAGGGCCTTGACAGAACGCTGCTGCAGGTGTGGGCTTTGCGCTGTGCGCGCGCCCGTGAGTGTGCGCGAGTGGGGAGCGCTCACATGTGCGTCGCCCTCTGTTGCTAGCCGCTTTGCTAGCATTTTGCGAGCGCCCTTACGAGTGTGTGCTGCTCGTGAGCCATCTTCTTATGCGGTCCTTTTACATGTCTCATTCTACACCAACACTTGTGTTTCTGGCTGGCCCCTTGTCCATTTTTGGTGGCGTGGCACCTCTCTTTAAGGCCTGTTGTCCGCGGCGATTGCCCGGAACCTGTCTGTCGTCAAGCTGGGGCTGGATGAGTCATGGGCTGATGGGTCAACCCCCTCGTGATTAGCACACCCACTCACCCAGTAATTCCAACCAGGAGTAATCACTCAATCGTTCCGCTGGACCCAGATCGGCAGCACAGGGTTGTGCCAGGCTGCCCTGCCGCTTCAGCCAACGCCGTCAGGACAGGTCACAAGTCGGTTCCGGGAAGCTTAGTGATGCTGACATGCGAAACACTTGTGTGGAGCAGCACTGCTTGCAAATGGATATAAGTTGCATGGCCGTGGGCCATGCATTGGGTCTAGGGGTGACGTGACACAACGACCAGCCTCACCGGCTTTGCTGGCGCAGTGATTGAGTGAAGCCATCTTGAGCTGCTGGCTTGGTGGTTGGCGACATCGCAGGCAGCGCCACTTCACAACAGGTCGAACGGGCGTGGTAGCCGTCCAAGAGCCCATAACTTTTGTAACCATCGGCATGTGCTAGGCTCACGGCGTTTTCATTCGTCCCAACGCTGGATCGGGTCACCGGCACTCGTGCCGTGACTCGCTCCAAACAACCAGGATACCAATATGCCCACCAAAAACTGATGATAATATTTGGATCCTCTGACCCCCGGCCTTGTGGTGCATTCGGCGCTTTCGTTGAGGAGACGTGCCGGCAGCCAGAACGACAGAGCACCACGCACGGTTCCATGAAAGCTGCGAGCATGCGTTACGAACACGAACATAAATCATTGCAAAGGGGCATTTCAATCACGCTCCACCTAGTCTGCAGCCCCCTGCGCCAAGCTTGCAAAGTCAACCGCACCACTGCTGTCAAGCACAGCATTGCACGCCGCCGCCAGCCTCAGGCGAGCCCACTCCAAACCCCAGCAACGATGGCCTTCACCATGTCTCACGCCACGAGGATCCCCGCCGCCGCCGCACCCGCCGCGCGCCGCGCCGCCGCCGCTGCGCCCCGCGTGGGCGTGCGCGCCCACTTCCGGATCACCTTGCGCACGCCCGAGGGCCAGGACACCGCTTTCGAGTGAGTCACGCCGGCAGCGCCGCGGAGGAACCAGTCATCCACAGTTGCCGGGATGCGACCACGCGCCACCTGTCGTCCTGCACTCCAGCCACCAGCGTGGGACCCCCCCCCTCCTTTTTGGCGCCCGTTCAAAACCGACCTCGATCCCACCCGCCCCAACCCCTGCCTGCCCGGGCCACCCCGCCATGCGCCCCCAGGTGCGGCCCCGACGAGCTGATCCTGGACGCCGCTGACGCCGCCGGCGTGGATATGCCCTTCATGTGCCGGTCTGGCACCTGCATGGGGTGAGGACGAGGGTCGGGCAGGGGGGATGTGGGGCTGTCCATCACGCAGACCTCAAGAACGCCTGCCATCCAGCGGCTCCTGCCCGACGCCCCGCACTCGCACGCCACCTCGCGTGAAAAAGCGCTCGACTGCCACAGCATTCACTTGCTGTTTATGCACGCATCACCTCCAGGCCCACGTCCGCTTTCATCCTTGACCGAATCACCTGATGACGCCTCACCGCACGTGATGTCACCATTCCTTACCCCAGATCGCATCAGCTCACGCCACCGCACCACACCACACTACACTGCACTCACAAACACCGCAGCTGCACCGGCCGCCGTGTGGAGGGGGAGCTGGTGCAGCCTGACCCCGGCATGCTGGAGCCCACTCACGAGGCGCACGGCTTCGCGCTGCGTGAGTCCCCAGTGACACCCCGCACTGGCCCCCCCTCCGGACGCCCCGCTCCAGCCCAGATCGTCACATATCGCGCTCTGTGCGCTACTGCACGTGTGCTTGCGGTCGTTGCCCACCCGTTGACATACGCATGGATGTGTGTTGCTTTTGACCCCCCACCGGCTGCACAATCGGACCAGCTGCACAACCGTACAGTCAGGCACCCGCCATCCCCCGTATCGCAGCCCTTGCCGCGCAAACACATCACGGAACCCCTCCCCAAACTCCCCACCGACCCAACCCTCAGTGTGCAAGTCCTACCCCCGCTCCGACCTGCTCATCCTGAGCCACCAGGAGCACGAGGTGTGGGCAGGCTTTGCGAAGCACACACGCATTTCTGCGGCCACTCGCACCCACGGCACGCACCAAACATGTTTCCCGTGAAGTACATGCATACAATCTCTCCCTGCAGCATCTTGTGCATTGTCAGCACCCCTGCACCCCAATCCCTTGTTACCGCACCCCACGCAATCCGCCCCGTTCCTCCCAACCTTTCCCCCCCCCAGTTCTACCTGTCTGACTGTGACGCCCCTGGCGCCACGGTCAAGATTAGCTCCAGGTAGACCACACGATTACGAGGTCATCAAGATCATCATGGTCATCCCCAAATCACTGCACCACTAGCTGGCTAAAACTCTGGTGCCTGGGCTTGACTGCGGATGGACAGAGCGGTTCAAGGTTTTTCGAGCTCGCTTGGCGGGCCAGCCGGAAGCCCTGCGGAGCGAGGCAGGGGGGCTTTGGCCAGCCATCAAGCCGGGCCAGGCGCTCGGACAGAGGCGCAGAGCACTGTTTCAGGGTTCGCAAGTCAAAACAACCTTCTGTATCAACTGACAATTGACAAGCAACTCACGGGATCAATTGGGACACAGTAAAAGCGGCGCTGATGCCGCGCTAGCCCGACAGCCCCCCCTTCACGCTGCAATTGCGTTTCAGCCGCTCGCATTCTGTGTTGTTGGTCGTCAATGTGGCTGCGGAGGCACCCACCGCAAGTTTGCCATCTTGTGCTGCTGAGAGGAGACTGCCCGCCTGCCTGCCTGCCTGCTCAACGGTGTGTTGTAGCACTTTGCTGTGCTTCACCAGATAGCCTGCGGGCAATATGGCCCATTGCGAGCAAACAAGTGCGCGCGGGCGGGTGCGCCAGGCGCGCCTAGAATCTGAAATCATTACCGACCCCCAGCCTTGCCAGGTTCTGGCAATGCTTGTAACAGTGTTGATGCTTTGCAACAGTCCAGTGGTGCACAGCAGCACAATGCAGGGCTTGTATTCATGGCTCTATTGCGGCTGTGTGAGCTTCAACTGCAGATGTGTCCAGCTGACGGAACAGGATTGCCCTGCGGGTTACATCAGGCATGAGCCCGTGGCCGTCTCCTGTCTCGTCTTGCGCTTGAGGAAAAGATTCATTAATGCTTGATGGCAACAACCACTGGATGGGTCCCACCAATAAGGAGAACGAAGACAATCAAGCACAACACTGTCCCATTCCCAGAAAACAGGACCCTGGAGAAAGCAGCTGACGCGCCACGACACAGTGCCATTTGCAAAAGAACTCCTGCCACATACCACAAAATGTCCTCAAACACCCGCGACGCCTGCAATCTCACGCCGTCGGTGGCGCCTGCGGGCGCTGGCCGCTGGCCAGGGCAGTTCCGGAGGCGGCGCCCAGCCTGCTACGGGTGCTGGCCTGCTCGTCTGGGTGCTGGCCGGCCACCGTTGACTTGAGGTAGATCTTGGCGGCCCTCTGGCGGTGGGGAGGGAGTAAGGGGTGGGTGAGCGCGTGGGCACTCAAGGGATTGTGCATGTTTGCAGCTTGTGTGCGTGTGCATGTGTGTGGGTTCAAACGAGGCCCCCGAACATTCATGCTACCCGTGTGCTGGTGCCGGTGCCGTCCAGCCCATATCGCAGTGGCAGCCAGCGCCCCCAAGCCCGCCCCACCTTGGCCGTCTTTGACACCATCGCGCGCGCGCCCAGGCGCGTGCAGTTGATGGCCTGCGCTCGCGGCGGCGGCGGCGTCGTTTGCGGCGGCGAGGGGTTGGCAACAGGGTGGTGTGGGCGCAGCACAGCTGGGCGAAGAACCAGATGCTGGCATCACAACTGAAAACAGTCTGCCCACTTCACGGCTATGGTCCAAGCACTCACTCGTTTTCCAAAGTGGCCATGACCCGACGCTGTTTCATCCTTGCCGCAGCACACCCTCCCTCCCCGCGCCCGGTAGAATCTAGCGAGCCCCTGGGCCCTCTCACCGCTGACAGCATGTCCTGTGCCACCGGGACGCTGTCCTGCGCCGCCTTGCCGGCCTCCTCGCCGTACCTGGTGCACGCCAAGAGGGTGGGTGGGTCGAGGGCAGGAGGGTGAGAGCAGGGCATGGGCATCCGTCGCTCGCTGCCGTCCGGCCTTGATGCACCCTTCAACCTGCGGCGACAACCCGACAACCCCGAAAAACGCCGGCATTGTCGCGGGCAGACCACGCGCCAGGGTATGCCTGTGCGTCTTGAAGCCCACAAGGCGCCCGCCACAGCCCCGGCCGCCCCCTCACTTGAAGCGGATGTACTCGGCGCTCGCCTCTGCGCTATGGCTGAGCACCTGCCGCGGCGGGAGCGGCGTCACGAGGCGAAGGTGTGTGTGCGTGTCGGGGTGCCGTCGCACCAGGCCACGCCGCTCGGCTTCTTCGCGGTGTCGGCCGCAGACTCCAAAACGTGGCGCGGCAAAACAAGCAGCTTTTGCTACAGCAGCGCCCGATCCCCACCCTCAACTGCACTCAAACCTCTGCCACCTCGGGCCCCCAACAGCACAACCCTGGGCCTTCCTCGAGCCAGACAGCCTTCCCCCTCCCTCCACACCTGCTTTGCTGCATCCTCCAAGGCATCATACACCTGGACATACGCCATCAGCCCCGCAGCTCCCACCTGGGAGGGAGGGGGGGAAGATGTAAATGAGAGTGGGACGCAGGGGTGGCCGACCAAGAGTACAGTGTGTGCAGGGGGTGGGGTGGGGTCGCGGAGCACGAAGGGGGGAAGAAAACTGCAGCTTGCCCCATTAGGGGTGATTACGGAGCATATACGTGTTGCATGCGCCAATGGGCAGTGTGCCGACACACGCCCCGCCCCTCACCCCGCCTGACTGGACGCCCCTCTGCTGTGATGTGCCACTCCGCCGCTTGCACGCCATGGCCCAGTCATCGCAGCAACCCCGTCGCATCGCTGCCGCCGGCCCAAACGGTCCTCTCCCTCCCAACCAGCCCCGCCCCGCCCTGCCCCCCGCACCGTCTTGAACGCCGTCCGCTCCTCAGGGGCGAGCTCGGCCCCCTCGCCGCTGCCAGCCACCACGCCCGGGCGCCGCTCGCTGTGGCCCGGCAGCGCCTTGGCAATTTTCAGGGCGAGTGCGTAAGACGCGTCGCCCACGAGCGCCGCCAGGCGGCCGGTGACGTAGGCCGCGCCGCAGGCGACAGTAGCGACCACTTTGAGGCTGGGGGGGGGGTGAGGAGAGGCGCATGCGTGCATAAGCATAGAGATGTGTGTGTGTGTGTGTGTGTGCGTGTGCGAATGCATGCGTGTGCGTGTGTGTGGGTGCACGTGCGCACGCACATGGTCTGTCGCGCCTCAAGTCAGTGCAGGGGATGTCAGAATGCAAGGCGCAACAGAGCAGCAGCCAAGCAGCAACAGGGACTGCAACCGATGGCTGCGGGGGGCCACCTCAAAAAGCCGGCTGCAAAATGCCTGCAGCCCCAGGCCCGAAGGCTGTCGCGCTCACCCTCGCTTGAAGTGGGGCGACACCTGTGCCGGCTGGGCATCGGGCGCGGGCACCCTGGCCGCCTGCTTGTCCTTGAAGGCCACGATCGCATCTGACAGGGCGCCAGATCCTTTCTTAACCAGGTCTGCTGCCACGCCCCCGCCATACAGGAGGCCGTTCGCCACGCGATCGGCAATGCCCGGCTTGGCCGCCGCTGTGGCCGCCGCGGCGGCCGCGACTGCGGGGACGGCGGCAGGGGGCACAGCCCCGGGTGTGGGCGCCGGGGCAGTATCTTGCGGGCCGGAGGGGCGCGGGGCGGGCGGCGCCGCGGGCAGCATAGGGAGCGGGCCGGCGGCGGGCGCGTCGGTTGTGGCTGACGAAGGGGGCGTCACTAGCGGGGCGGGATATGGGCTGGTAACGGGTCCGGCGGCAGATGGCGCGGCGGGCGGCGAGGCCAGCGGGGCCGGGTACGGCCCGGCCGCCGCCGCCGCCAGCTCCGCCGCGGGCTGCGCCGTGGGCGGCACCTCCTCCGCGGGCGTTGGTGCCGCCGCGGGCGTGCCCGCGTACCCCGTCGCCGCCGCCGACCCGGGCTCGGGCCCCGCCGCTTGCGCGCTCTCGCCGCCCGGGTGCGCCGCGGCCGCCGCCGCGCCTGGCTGCGGCGGCTGCGCGGCCGAAATCCTCTCGACCTCCCTGGCTTCCTTGCCGCCCGCCAGCTTGTCTGCCTCCTCATAGGCGGCGTCGACCTGGCGCGCGGTGCTGTAGGCACAGCTGCTCGCCAGAACGTCCTCCACGGCATCCAGCGCGGGCGCGGCTGTGTCTGCGCCGTTTTTTTGGACGTTTCAAATGCAAGTCGCCGCGTTTGGCGGTCAGGGGCGAACATGCTTGCGCCAGCGCAGCACGTGGATGGCGGGCAAAGCCAGTCGGAAGCGCCAGAACCGGCACGCCTTATCCGAGCAACAGTTAACATGCAAGTGCCATCCTCGCTGATGGCATGCTGACGTCACTCAGGTCAGTAATCGCTCAAGGGCTCTGCCGATGCTGACCTGGCGGCAGGACCAGGCAGTAGTAGATCGCGCGGGTGTGCTCCAGGCCGAAGGAGTAGATCGTGGGCGCGGCCTTCAGGGCAGGCAGGTGCTTTCCAAGGTTCCAGCCGTTGGAGCCCACCTGGCGGCCGCATGGCGGGGAGAGTTGCAGCGACCGGGTGCATGCGCCAATTGCAGAATGCCATGTCGAAACAGGTGGGTCCTGGCGCATGCATGTCCTCGTAATGTGCAGCGCGGGCCGCTGCATGGAAGCGCGGGCGCAGCTTCCGCCCCAGCATGCGTGCCCACCTGAGCACGCACGACCTGCGCGTCGCCCTCGCCAACCAGGCTGATTGTAAGGTCACCCACGCCCAGGAGGCGTTGCACACCGCCTTCGACCTGTTGAATGGGGGGTTGCGTGGCGGGGGCACGGTGACGCGTGCTTGGGATCATGGGGAGCGTGCGACGCGAGCAGCATGCGCACCTGGTGCAGCTGAGCCCCTGGCACGACCACCAGCGCCTCAGCGGTTGTATTGTGCTCCATTGCGACGATCGCGGTGCTGGGCCCGTTGTCGAAGGCAGCAGTAGAATGAAGGGGCACGGGTACTACGGTAAAATCGTTTCAAAAGCAAAGGCAAAGCGCGTGTGAACAGCGAAACGATTCTACGTCGTGGCTAATCAAATATCACACACGTTTCGGTTTGCACAAGCGGCCTTCAGCCAACCCGCCACCTGCATCTGACAACTCAGCCCGGAAGGCACGGGCTCTGAAGCACCACAGAGGGTCGAGATTCAGTCGATACTTGCAGCTTTATTACGCGTGCTTACAACAGCCGTCCAGCGGTCTCCCGGGCGCCTACAGCGGCGTTCCCAGCGAAAGCGCAAGGGATCCCGAGACGCAGGCATCATTGTGGTAGGTTTGAATGGGTGGTTCGCAGCGCACGGGTGTCGCCATGCTCCTGCGGCGCCCATGCCCGTTCCGCCGCATCATTACGCTGCTGCTGCGTCAGCGAGAGTTCGCCCCGCTGTGGCCAACCCTTGCATATCATATGGGTCAACGCATGCGTAACGCTCTCAGCAATCGGGCATGGGGACTCGCAGCTTGTCCACGGGAAGCCGCTCTCTGCACTTGCACTTCCAGCACCCTGCAAGTTTCCCACAAATGCAGCCGGTCACCCGCCCCTCTCTGCGGTCCTGTTGCTTGCAGCCACCCCAGCAGTTGGAAATGGGCTGCCTCTTCTTCAATCGGGCTGCGATCAAGCATGGCAGCATGTTGCAGGCGGAAGACAGCGACGGCCTCGTCTTTGGCCCTGCCTCCTGCCGCCGACTCTCCCTCGACGGCCCGCGGCCGCAGATGCCGCTCAGCCCTCGCGGCTCCGGCGCCTGCGCCTCAGCCGGCGTATCTGGAAATTCCAGTGCCACCGCGGCTCTGCGCCTTATGCCGAGCGTGGCGCTGTCTGGGCGCTCCGCCTCGCTGAGCGTCGAGGCACTGGGAGCGAACCCTCTGAGGCGTGTGTCGCTGCCGATGCCCGGCCAGCAGCCGCGGCCCGTAGACGAGACGCTGCGGCGCGGCAGCGTGCAGGCACCCATGGCCGCTGGGGCTGCGGCATCTATCGTGGCAGCGGCAGCGGCAGCGGCGGGCCGTGCCTCAAGGCCAACTGCGGGGCCCTGCGCGGTGGAGTGTGCTCACTGACAGGTCCCGCCGCAGCGCCGCACCTGAACCCTACTCCAGAGGGACATGCATAGTTTGCCTGCGTCTGCAGCGCACTTGCGCTCTGTCGTTGCGCCGCGCAACACCGCCACGCCTCGCACCTCGCACGCTGGGCGCGGCTGCGCATCCTCCAACGTTTACATGTCGCCCACCAACCCACGCAGTGGCTGTTGTGCCATGCGCTGCTAGCATTCCTTGATGTATGGCCGATCCTTACTTCTTTACCTCCTGCAGCAAGCGTGACGTGTACCCACCGCCCCGCAACATTCCCCGTGTTCACCGAGTGGCAACACAACCAACTGCCAGGCAACTAGAAAGAGGGCGTGGCGGCAAGGCCGACCTTGTTTCTGCCTGCATGCTCACTTCGCCGGCCTGCATTGTGCTGATTGTCGAATCTACAGCCGGCACACCGTTTGCAAAGGGGGTCGCACTGCCTTGTGCACGCAGTTGATGTAGGCATCACCACTTGCATTGGAGGCTCACAATCATCGTCGGGCGCTAAGGATCAGCACCCGTCGATCAAGTGCAGCATGCGTTATTGATTTTCTGTCAGGAGTGTGTCATTGAATTGCCTCCCTGCTGGTCCTTCCAACTCCGCGCTCCTTGTGATGCATTGATTTGCATGCGGGATGCCAACACTCCGAGAACCGCCTTGTCTGGCCCAGTGCCTACCCCCTTGACCTGTCGACGCGCATCCGTCTAACAGCCTCATATCATGTGTAATACCAATTCTCGTGTCGGGGGTGAGAAGAAAAGCGGGGGCGCGTGGGGGTGGGGG